TTTTCGGGGAGACAGTGAGCCACAGCAGTGCAGGAGCCAGGCGGGGATCCAGGACTGAACTGGAGTTATATCACCTTCTGTGTTGCATTCCCTCCCTGAACCTCCAGCAAAACCATGGCTTAAGTTGTAAAGAGAATTAGTTAAAAGTTGTGCCCACATTTGGGCAGATCCGTGAAAGCACAATGCCCAGACTCTATGCCTATAGGAACCTCATGGCTCCGGCATGTTAGAATTTACAGGGCCCAATGAATGATACATCTGTTTCCCACCCAAATGTGGCACCAACTGAGAGAGAGAGATGAAAGAGTAAGGCAGCAGGAAAGGGAAACTATCACCTTTATTGCCACTAAAGGCAGTTGAGGGTGTGGAGTAGGTGTGCTGGCCAGGGGGGTTACTAATATTCCACCCCTGAACTGAACTGACCTGCCTCATCATAGGCAGCGCTGGACAACCACACAGAAAAGCCAAGCAGTGGCAGGCACTCTGAGAGCAGACAAAAGTCAAAGAGGAAAGGAGGAGGGACAACTGAACATGTTTGACTTCTTCTGCCAAACTCTCCATTCAAATCCCTCCCTCTTTACCTGGGGGCCAGAAAGTGAAGGGAGCAGAGAGAGGCCAGGCCCATCAACCACAGAGCCGGAGCAGAGGGTTTCTCCATTCCCCACACAGCGTGTGACCGTGAGTGTCACGGCTCATCTCTGTGAAAACCTTGATTCTAATGGCTGCTTTGCTAAAATGAGGGCCAGAGAAATAAATATGTAAACATTTATTAATTATGATTGCCTTTATTTTATACTCATCACTAGAACACCTAGACAGGCAATAATAATTAACTTCATTTATCTTTAATGTTTTGTCAATTTTTAGTAATATTTTAAAAAGATAGCTTTACACATTTTAAAAAAGACTTTGGTTATTTTTAGAGAAAGGAGAAGGGAGAAAGGGAGGGAGCCAAACATCAGTGTGTGGTTGCTTCTCGTGCGCCCCCTACTGGGGACTTGGACTGCAACCCAGGCATATGCCCTGACTGGGAATTGGACCCGCGACCCATTGATTCATGGACCAGCACTTGATCCACTGAGCCACATCAGCAGAGCGCTTTACACATATGCCAATTTTCTTGTTCTGAAGGTATGGATTCTGAATATAGACTTTATAGAACGGTTTGTTCACTTGATTGATAATCTCTACAACCACAGACATATGGCATGTGGGCCTTCATTTCAATTCTTGTCTATGTTGCAGCCCCACGGGCCAGGGATGGAAGATGGAGGCTCTCCAGGCCAGTTTCTCACGGAGGAGAGCTCGTGGACAGGGCTACGAGAGGAAATGAACCTATCCCTTGCTTCTATGGAGAAATAAACAAGATCTACTATGTGGTACTTGAACTTGGCCACTTGCTATCCATCAATGCAGAGGGGGCATAAGTATCCCCACGTCCCACAATATCCAAGGAGCTCTAATCTAGTGGGCAAAGCAAGTCCAGCAGGCGCCTCCCACGGGGAGATGTTATTCAGAGTGAGGTGAACAGCAGTGTTGACTGGTCCATGTAGGCTCCAGCAGGACCCAGAAAAGCTGAGGGGATGGAGGCCCAGGCTAACAACATTGAATGAAAAAGAACAAAATCTAAGCATATTTTGAGCATCCCACCTCAGTAAGTTACTTGTCAGGAAAGATTTCACTTCTGGCCCAGGGTCCCTGTGTCTAAAGCAGGCAGCCTCAGAAGTGTAGACTCACAGTCTCAGCAAACACAGCAGGTGGTTGGGAAGCGGGCAGCTTGGAGGGGAGGTGCCCGGCTCACGGAGGAAGTGGAGGAGTAGCAGGACTGTAGGACTGATGACAGTAGACTTCATCGCAGACACCAGCTGTGGGTGAAAATGGGCTGGAGACATATTGCCCGTCCTGCTCAGGGCTGCCTCTCAGTCTGGGAAGGCGGTGGTTACAGTGCTGGGCCCAGAGAAGCAGAACTGTCAGGCTTCAGTGATTGGCTGCGGGAGAGCTGTTCTTTGACTAGAAAACATCCATCACGCACAGCACTCAGACTTCCTGCTCTACAAAACATTACTCTTAAGCAGAAACAAATTCTGGTTCATGTTTTTAAAATACAAATGTTTTGACGTACTCAGGTTGCTGACTGGCAGTGTGCTGTAAAGGTTGGGGCAGGGTGACTGCTCAGAAGGCCGTAACAGTGGCCTCCATTATGACCAGTGCGCCGTGGTGTCTTGAACTAGAGAGGCAATGGGGGGGGGGGGAATAAGTACAAAGGGAAAAAGATGAGAAAATTACCAAAACAAAGTGTTTAGGAAGAAGGGCCAGGACAACAGAGGAGCCCCAGGAAGGAAGGGCTGCCTTGGGCGTGTACCGTAGTAGGAATAAAGGCAGGCAACGTGGAACGGAGGCTACAAAAGATTCATTCAACTCCTACTATGTGCCAGGACTGTGCTAAGGAGATCCACACACCTTAATTCACTCAGTCCTCCCAACAGCTGCATAAGACAGCTCCGAGTACCACGCTCATCTTACAGGAGAAAAAGCTCAGACACTGAGTGGGCACCTGCCCCCAGTTCCATAACCAGCACGCGGCAGAGTTGGGATTCGAACTTGTGTAGCTGGATACCTTGAGCTCTTAATGCCACACTAAATCTGTCCTCAGGAGGAGGCTGGTAGATTTGATGGTGGGAAGAATTGCAGAAAATGATAAATTATGCCTCCCAAGAAATATGCTCTATGAAGGGCCCCCGATAAACAAAAAGGAAACATCTCATACGAAGTTCCCGATGTAGTACGTCTCTCATTTAGGAGTACTCTGAGAATTTGTGATGTGTTCAGACTAACAAACATACAGGCCTTTTTTTCGTCCTGGCCACTAGGGGGAAGCATGGAATGTGAAAAATGCTTAGACCTAGTCCAGGGATTCTCAACGACTGATAGTTACTCAATTTCCCCCCTAACATTAGCAGTACTTAAAACATCTTTGTGTTCTCACTTGTGAAGGATTATTTTCAAATAATACTCATTAGGCATTTATAAACACTCTTCCGTACTTTCTATAGATACACGTATTACCCTAAATGAAGCAGACACAAGAAACCACATGGTGTGTGATACCATTTATGTGAAATGTCCAGAAAAGGCAAAGCTCTGGCTACAGAAAGCGGGCAGGTTTGCCCTAGGTAAGGGCCCAGGGACGGGGGCTGGCAGTGGGTGTGCACACGGGGTCTTGCCGCGGGATGAAAATGCTCTGAAGCTCATATATGGTGATAGTCGTCCCTGTACAATAGTAAAAAGAAGCACTGTACTGAAGGTCATTGAACTGGACACTTGAAATGAGTGAATTATGTGATCCATAGAATAAGCCTCAACAAAGATGTTGAAAAAATGAAATGTAACATTTTGCAAATCAAACAAAAAAAACCCCTCTTGATTCAAACAGAATAAAAATATAAGGTTGTACATGCAAAAAATGTCTAAAAGGATAGTCACTAGTAACAGCGATTAACTCTCAGAAATGCTATTGTAAGAAGAAACTAGAAAATTTTTACATTCTGTCTTTCTATATTTTTTAGGGCAATATAATTTAAAAATTTTTAAGATTTTATTTATTTATCTGTAGAGGGGAGGGGAAGGAGAGAGGGAGAGAAATATCAATGTATGGTTGCCTCTTCTGAGTCCCCTGATTGGAACTGGCCCGCAACCCAGGCACGTGCCCTGACTGGGAATCGAACCATGGTTGCTTGGTTCCCAGGCCCGCGCTCAATCCACTGAGCTACACCAGCCAGGGCTAAATTTTTAATTAAAATGTTTTGGAGAGATTAGAAGTTAAAATGTGTAAAATATAATGGAACTACAAGCATCATCATTACCTCTGGATAGTAGGATATGGCTTATATTTTTGTCTATGTTTATTTTCTAATTTTATAAATGATCATATACTTTTTACAATAATACCTAGAAATAGCTTAATTTAAAATAATCATATACTTTTTACAATAATACCTGGAAATAGCTTAATTTAAAATAAAAAAGCCAGGCATTATTTAGGTAACTTTTTAAAAACTTACTTTTAGTACAATGTCTTTTTTAATTTTTTTTTTTTTTAGAGAGAGGGGAAGGAAAGGAGAAAGAGTGGGAGAGAAACATCAATGTATGGTTGCCTCTCATGTGTCCCCCACTGGGGACCCGGCCCGCAACCCAGGCATGTGCATTGACTGGGAATTGAACCAGAGACCCTTTGCTTCACAGGCCCATGCTCAATCCACTGAGCTACACCAGCCAGGGCTAGTACAATGTTTATTGTATTTCATATATAACAGGATATTTTTTAGCTCAACAGAGGCCTGGGGCTTAGATGCTTAGATGAAAAGAGAGAACTGTCCACTTGCATCCCAGCTCGGGTGCTCTCTAGTGAAGCTGTACGGTATTCTATTCTCACTTGTATTTGCATCTACAAATCCGTGTAGGTAAGGGAGAAAGAAACCTTTGTGATATTAGAAATTGAGATACAGATCTCGTCTTTTAAGGTTTACATTTCTTAGTTCCTATCTGCTGGCAAAGACAGCAGTGGAGAGCCTGGCAGGAATCAGGTGGTTAAAATGACCACGGGAGAGGAAACTCCTTGAGAAAAATGTACTGTAGGGGAGGGACAAGCTGCACTGATGTTCCAGAACTTTCTGCACGACCTGACTCCTTGGAGGTAGATGTTGACTTGGGGCGCAGGGTGTAGCTGAAACAAGAATTGCTCCCTGCTTAGATACTACTGCATGCTTTTTGGGGGGGAACACCTGCACATAAGGAGTTGGAAGAGCCGTACTGAGAAGGCCACTGCTAAGAGCAACAGTGGCGCAAAGAACCTCAAAGAAACACTTTGCCCCAACCTCACCTTCAGAGACCATGGAAACTGACTGATACTGACCTGTATCAGTAGCCATGGAAACAGAGAGCAGGGCACCAGGGCTAATAGAAATGTACCACAGAACATAAGCCCCTTTCTGGCGGTCGAGATGTTGAAGCAAGCCCATGACGGGTCCTCTGGTGCAAAAGTCCAGGTTTCCCCAAGTCTTCCAGTAGGAGCCGTGATCAACTGTGCCGACAACACAGGAGATGAAAGTCCGTGCATCCTCTCCGTGAACGGGATCCAGGGGCCACTAAAGAGACGGACTTCCTGCTGCTGGTGTGGGAGGCTTGGGGACGGCCCCAATCAGAAAAGGGCGAACGAGAGCTCAGAGAGAAGGGGCATCCAGCGGTGGCAATTCGACAACCAGTCCTACGGGAGAAAAGATGGTGTGTTTCATTATTTTGAAGATAATGCAGGGGTCATAGTAAACAATAAAGGCGAGATGAAAGGTTCTGCCACCCGGACCAGTTGCAAAGAAATGCGCGCATTCGTTCCCCAGGTCTGCATTCGGTGCTTGGCAGCATTGCACGATGCTCCGGTGTATTTGTAAAGAACAAAAACCGTGAAAAATCATTTCCTCAAAAGAAATAGGCCTATTAAAGACTAGGATTTTTGTCTGCCTTGGTGTCTGTTCGGAGCAGTGCCTGACATGTACTAGGCGCTCTGTAACTAAGAAATGATGGAGGGGATGAGTGGGAGCCCGCCTGGCCAGGCCCTCCACCCCGGTGCCGCCTGGGTTTCAGCAGCACCCCAGCTCCCCTGGGCCCCAGACTAGGGTCTTAGAGGCCCCAGGGAAGGGCAGGCCCCCTCCGAAGCCAGCGATCAAGGAGTCAAGCGTGGTTTACAGGTAAAAGGAAAACATCTCACTAGTTCACTCTAGAAAGTCAAGAGTGAGGGTGGCGTCATCGCTCCCGTGACCAGGAGTGCTACAACTGGCCCTGCCTGGTCACGCGTGCCCACGCGTGCCCTCCTAAGCTGCGAGTGGCATCAGGACCTCTCAGCACACAACACAAAGAGAGCTGGAGACAGACATATGCAGAGTTCAGAAACAGAACTGATCACTTCGTGTGGTACAGAAACGCAGCTGCAACCTTGCATAGAGTTTTGGGGGTCATAGGTCTTTGGGGGTCTTGATTAGAAGGTAGGAAGACTGTCAGGAAATACCTTCAAAAGAATGATCCTTTTAAAAGCGTATCTCTTAAATGGGCCATATTTAGAATTTAATGGTTAGGCTGTCGATGTATGTATTATTCTTCCTGAAAAATGAAAGTTTAAATTAAAAAAGTCTAGTAAAATGCTTTATTATATATTTCTGTCTTCTAAAACCAAGAAAATGCCAAGCAATATCATATCCAGCATAATGTTTTATTCCCTTAAAAAAGGGAACCTTTTCGTGGTTATAAAGTAGTATAATGCGGTCCAGATGGGTTAGCTGAGACAAAGGGTTGTCAATAAAATACTTGGCTAAAGGCAAAGAGCATTGCCTCTAGGCATTAGTGTTCTGATTATATAATATCCACATTTTTTTAATTAGGTCACATGAAAGCACAGAGATGCTTTAGGCATGCAGATAATGCAGACAGTGGCGCCGAGTGGAAGGGCCAGAAAGGCAGCGGTTCCGTCCAAACATGCACCTGCTCTGTGGTTCTCAGTGCTCTGTGCCAAAATGTTGGAGCTCCAGGTGGCACCCACTGTGGCACACACTCTAAGTAACACAGTGGCAGGGCCTGCAGGCATCACCTGCAAACCCCAACCACCTTCCACTCTGAGTGGTCACCTGACTTCTCCCTTCACCCAGAATGGCCACTGAGCCCAGGTCCCACCTCTTCATCTGGCTGACCCTACTCATCCTTCACACTCAGGTGAGAAAGCGTGTTGGCCAGGAAGCCCTCTGTGACCACGACTCACTCCCCTCTCCTCCCAGAGGCTTCCCCAGCTGATTTCACATTTCTGTGTCCTGACAGAGTATATGGCATTTTGTTTATTTTCTTTCTCCCTGGCTAAAATGTTGCTGCTTCTCAGTCTGTCCACACTGGGACAATGTCAGTAGCAGGCAGTTCAGTAAATGCCCATTGATAAAGGTTATCCAGAGTTGTGAAAAGTAGTGAATTGATTTGACCGAATATAAAAAAAAAAGTTGCTTAGAGAACCCCATCAACAAGACATGATGCTGCAAAGTTTTTCATTGGAAAAAAATGGAGAAGCATGGGTCAGTTTTTGTTCAGTTTCTTTGTTCCAAGAGGACACTAAGAAATCACTTTGACTACCTGTTCATGCTAAAAAAAAATCTGAGAATGGAGATAATCACCCTACCAAGTTCAGCAAGAGTTTTGCTATATGGCAGGGTTTGAAATGACTGGCAGGAAATTATAACCAGGTAACATTATGAAGAATGTGGACCCTTTCCTGCTCTTCTACGCTCAGTGTTCCCAATTCCCTCTTGACCACAAAAAGAAAGAAAGAAAGAAAGAAAGAAAGAAAGAAAGAAAGAAAGAAAGAAAGAAAGAAGAGAAGGAAGGAAGGAAGGAAGGAAGGAAGGAAGGAAGGAAGGAAGGAAGAAAGAGGAGAGGAAAGGAAAAGGAAAAAGAAAAAAAGAAAAGAAAAGAAAGGTAGTTCTAGCCTTAAATCTGCAACCCCTATGGCTAAGGAGAAAAATCGTTCTTAAATTGCCATTGGACAGGCAGATTCAGCTGCAGCCCAGCCTGAGCACTGGTCTGTGCTCGCTCCGGGCGGTTGCAGAACCCTCCACAGACACCAGGAGGGCGTCGTCCTGTAGCACTGGGAACCTCAAAATGGAGCTGGCAGCTCTTCCCACACTAACTGTAAGGGAATCAAGCAACAGATTCTTACCATTTTAGCCCCATCTTTTTTAACCATTGTTAAAGATGGTAAGCCTGTACTTCTCTTGGTACTTTAGATTCAGCCTTATATAAGGATTATTTGTCCTGAAGTCTGGTGGGTCTGTCTTTATCCCCACCCCACATTTAACATTTTTGAAAGTAAAACAGGAAATTACTTCAAGAAAATGGCTGGAAGAAAATCAAGTATTTTCTAACCATTCAGAGACAAGGAATTTTTTAAAATTAAAAGTTGCCAAAGGGAAAAGAAGCAAGTAATGTCCAATTCTTAAAATTCCAAGAGGAAACAATAACAACAACTATTATCCTTCTCTCTATGCTGCCATAGTTAGACACCCCTCTCCTTCAGCTATTTATTCGTTGCATCTGGGACTACGATGGCCCCCCTGTCCTCCTGTGTCCCAGCAGGCCAAAGGAAGGGGGAAGGCCACGCCTTTCTGTGTCTTCTGGCCATGGAGAACACTTCGGCTGTCTGGTGTCTGTATCCAGTCTGTAGTGACCGGGGAAGTGCTACCTGGTTCTATCGTTTCTTAGTGTGGAGGCTGCAAAAGGGAACCAGAAGTGCCCTCCCCAAAATGCCATTTATTTGTGTTTTCTGGGTCTCTGACAGAGTTCTCTGGAACACATGCAAAGAGACAGAAAAAAGATTCTCTGGGTGCCTTTCGCTCAAGTCCTGAGACTTTGAAATGTCCTAAGTAGGACTCGTTGTCATTGTCATTGAATGAATTTTCATAACTATTTCTTTTCCATGGTAAGAAACTATAATATCCACGCTCCTTTAAAACTAAAATTACAACTGAAGTCAGTATAATGAGTGGTTAACTTTCAGTGGGGGGTTTAAGGTGCAGGACGATCTTATATTTCATAAAATTATTCATAAATCTATAATTATTGCCTCTTCTTTCTGCCAGTTTTCACATTTCCCTACATTAATTTTCACACAGTATGGTTGGGATTTATTGCAAGCTACTGTAAATACCTTTTAAAGTCCAGCCCTGGCTGGTATGACTCAGCGGATTGAGTGGCGGCCTGCAAACCAAAAGGTCACTGGTTCCATTCCCAGTCAAGGCACATGCCTGGGTTGTAGGCCAGATCCCCAGTAGGGGGCACGAGAGAGGCAACCACACATTGGTATACCTCTCCCTCTTTCTTCCTCCCTTTCCCTCTCTCTAAAAGTAAATTTTAAAATCTTAAAAAATAAAGTCCAGAAAGGTAAGTAAGTATTGGAAGACAGTAACAAATGCACAACTGCATGTCTCTGATCGTGGTCACCTGCCCTGGTGGGCAGGCACCGTCTGAGGGCTGCGGGCCTGTCGTGTCCTCATTCAGATGGAGGTATCCTGCCCTTTCCTGAAGTCAGAGGATGATATTCTTCCAAAAACTTAAGAATTGTCCTCACTTTTTAAATTGCTAATCCATCTGGAATCGTGTGTGTGTGCATGTGTTGTGAGGCAAGGGGCTAATTTTATGTGCCCTTCCATGTGGACGCCCAGTAGCTCCTGCTCCACTTACTGAGTTCATCATTTCCTCACTGATTTCCAGTCTGTCAAACGCCCTTTTCATGCACTTTTTAGTGGCCTTTCTGAGCCTCCTATTCTTTCCCATTGGCTATTTGTTTATCCATCTGCCTACATCAACTGTCTTAAACTCTGCAGCTTTATAAGTCTTTATATCTAGTAGGGTAAGTTGCCCCCAACACACACAACTTTCCTTATTTTTCAAGCATGTATTTGTAGCCAGATATTTCTATTAGACTGCAAACTTGGCTAGACAAGTTGTGGCTAGACAAAACATGCCCACACAAAGATACTCCACACCATCCAGATGGTGGCCAAGTGCGTATGCTGACGAGAATATGAGAAATTCTGCTTCCAGTTAATCCTGAGTTAGGAGGAAACAGGAAATTGACTTTTAGGGAGAAGCAGAAAATATTACCATAACCGAAGTGCCAATAGAAATGAAAAAGTTCAGATGGAATCCTGCTTTATTAACTGCTGCCTTTGTGGGTAAATCTTTTGGATTGAGTTATTGTTGGGTGAGAAATGTCTTTGCCAGAACTTACAGAGGCAAACAACTTTACTATATTGACTTGAGTTTTGAAAGAGTTTTGAGGAGTCTTATGAAGCTATTGGGCATTTCTGTTCAACCTTCAGCTTAGGAGACAGCCAGTCACTGCCGGAGTCAGGCGTAAACGCGTGGGAAACAAGTTCTCGGGAACGGCGAAGCTGCACTAATGTGCGGTGGCACGTGTAATTGCTCTGGAATCTGCCGACAGCCACGGTTCTCACGGACACTGAGCAGCGCCGTGATGCCTGCTCTGAAGCTGAAAAGGCTCCCAGAGCACTCAGGCCCCGAGCCCTGTGCTCGTCCTCGCCAGGCTATTAACAAAGATAAGAGGGGAAGCACCTAGACAGAGACCTGAGCAAGATACCTGTAGATGCATGCTTCCTTTTTGAAAAAGTACAGAAAGTAATCGCAGAAGAGTTCTCATCCCGGAGACCCAGCAACCTCAGAATGAAGCTGGACGCTCCCTCCATACTAACTGTAAGGCAATCCAATGACAGATGAAAATTTCACTCAGAACAACAGGTGGGCTTTTGTACTAAGAGAAGAAAACTATAGGCTGATTTCTTTATGACAAAAAAACCCCACCCACGTTTATATTTGGGGATTTCTTTAGCTGAATTTCCAC